CTGAAACAAAAATAGTTACAGGAAGCGATCATTCTATTTAAAAGGCTGCCGGAGAGCTGATGTATGTTTCAAAGGCCAGTCCCAAGCCTCAACTGTTCAAGTAAACCTCAGGTGTAGCGAAGTTTTCAGCCACCACAGATGAATAGACTCAGATCATGGTGTAGAATTTCTGGAAATTAATTTTCTTTCTAGGAAAGGGGGAAGATCAAATCGTATTCCACTGGCCACCTGGGCCAGGGGAATGTGAAGGTGCCGTGCTCATCTGAAGTAATTTAAAATCCATCACTTCTATTTTGTTGTTGTGTAAGGCAGCCCACCAATGGGAAAAGTGGGGGGTGGGGGGATTATGTTTTCCTCCTCCAAACTAAGGAGAAGAAGTAAATATTTATGGAAGAAGTACTAGAGTACTATAAGAAATATTTTATGATACTTTACAGACTTCAACACATTTTACATACTCAAAATTCATTCTTTAAACACGTATCATGAGCCTACAATGTCAAGCATCATCTCAGGTGTATCAAGACAGGGCCTCTGTCCTTTAGGAACTCCCACTAGTGAGTGAGGCAGCTACACAAGTGATAACCACTTGCAGAATCACAAAAGAAATATGTATTTATAAAGACCTATGGGAGCTTTTGGTTAATGATATTAGGAAGTAGTTGGGACACCTACCAACTTCCTTGTAGCCTGAATAATTTCCCAGCTCTTCTAAAATAGTTTGGTTTTGAAGAAAATATAAATTATGTATCTATTTCTCACACAAAGAAAACCAACAAACAAAACAAAGCTGGCTCAAAATGGTAACATTTCATTCTTTGGTACAAGTAAAAGACAGTATAAAGTCAAAGTATAATTTTAGGAATGCTAACAACATGAGCACCTCCCTAGAGATCCAGGAGCCAGGAAGCCCAGAGGTCAGAGTGGGACCACCCAGTTTGCAGCTCTGTGGAAACATAAAGGACACACTCAGGGGGCAGACTCAGTGAGCACCAAAGCCGCATCCAAGCAAGTCTAGCCCCAGAGGGGTGTCTCAAGCACAGAAGTTCTCCCACTGCAGACACAGCTGATTCTCACAGCCAATTGGCCTGGAGGTCAATTCCTCCCAGTGATAACTACAACAATCAAGGCTTAACTACAACAAGACTGTGCACAAAGCCCACAAGGGGGTGCACCAAGAGTGTCTACCTCAGGTAATTGGGACACTTAGCACAGAAAGGCACTCTATCGACACAGCGAAGCATAAAAAATGCCGAGACAAAGAAACAGGACACAAACGACAGAATTGGAGGAAAGCAAACTGTTGGATATAGAGTTCAAAACCACACTTTTAAGGTCTTTAAAGAACTGTCTAGAAGCCGCCGATAAATGTAGTGAGATCTTAAAGAAGACTGGTGAGACCGCCAATAAATGTAGTGAGATCTTCAAGAAGTAAATAAATAAATAAATAAATAAATACCAAAAAAAAAAAGAACTGGGTGTTTATAAGCACTAAAAAGCATGTGGGATAAGGTTACTAGGTTAGATACACACCTGGCTAATAGCCTACAGTAGCGATTTTCAACCGGTGTGCCCCAAGAATGTTTAAAACATGCAATATACCTGACTATTTCAGTCAGGGGCACTGACCTCTTCTTCCTCAGATTGCCAAATAAAAGAATGACAACAGCCAACACAATAGCCAGTGTGAATGAATCAAAACTATACCTATTTTTATTATCAGATCAGCAAAATATATGTTTTTGGTGTGCTGCAGAATTTCAGTAATTAGTGTATGTGTGCCATGAGATGAAAAAGGTTGGAAATCGCTGGCCTACAGGGTAATAAAACCATAACTTTGGAGGTTATCTTGTCTACCAGAGAGAAATCTACAAGTTAATGTGTAACTTTCTGGTGTCTGGGCTCTAAATGGCAAGTTTAAACAGAGACACATTCTCCTCAAGAATAAGCCCTGCCGATGAAACAGCGCCCCAGCATGACTTTGTCCGGACATGCAGCCTCCCAGGCCACACCCTGTTTCTAAGTTTTGCATAGTTTTTCTTAATCGCAGTGATGTGGTTATTAACATCACGGACATACTGCTTGGATCCCAGCTCCGGGTATACTAGCTGGGTGTACTAGCTGCATGAAAGTCTTTAAAACGAGGCACTGATGAGAGAAGAAGTATCTGGTCTTGAAAGGCTTCCCAGAGAAGGGGACGTGAGAGGTGCATCTTGAAATATAAACCTGCTTTTGCGGATGAGAAGTAACCAGGGAAATTTCATGAGTCTCTTAGGCCCTTCTCACTAAGGGTCTATTTGTATTCAATATTATTTCAGACTTTTTAGGTGTTACTTTTAACAAATGTGGTTATGATGTCCACCTGGTAATTGCAAGCAAATGCATAATTGCCAAAGGCAGGCAACCATTACCAAAGGCAGAGGAAACAACCAAGAGAAAGGGAAGAGAGAGAAATCTACAGGAAGAAGACACAAACGTTTAAAGAACCTCATGGATAGACTCGTGCTCCCAGTGTAGACAAAGATCCTCTGGAGCATCAAGATGAGGTTAAGTTATTTTTAATGTCTTTTGTAATACATTTAAATATGATTTTCACTACAATGATTGAAATAAGTTTGGTGATTAAGGGTATACATTATGAATTTTCTTGATGGTTCTGAGTAAACAGCATGTTACCAAACATAGTTTGTAAGGTGCTCTTTGTTCTTTGGATCAAAATAATTTTAACAGAAACACAAAATTATAATGTAAATCAATAGAGAAAAATATGGCGTTTAAACACTAATACTGCTTTGCAGATAACTATTGGACTAAGGTGAAAAGTAGTTCAGTGAGAAGTGTGGTAAATTTTATGCCAGTTTAGAATTTAAGCCATTTAGTCTCTGGAACCAGAAAAAGCATACCCTTCCCATACTGACACATCAAGTGTCTCATATTGGCAAGATACCAGAATTTTTGTCTGTTTATTAAACATGGCTTTCATCTAAGCTACAATCAGAGAGACAAATAGTATCTATTAGTAATGCCATAAGGCTGTTTGTCACTACTCAACAGATGGGTGTTCTTTCTTTATAAGTTATGACAACTTGAAATCAAACTGTTAAAAACAAGTGTTTTCTTTCATCCACATTTGAAAATTCTAGTGCAAGGCAAAGTGGTTTTCTCCAGTAACCGTCATCTAAGTTATGTCTGATCAAAACACCAGAGCAAAAAAAGAATGATGATAAAATAAATTTACAATGAAAGACCATGAAGTAAATCCACAACAGAAAATTACAATGTAAAATCCACAACTAAATCTTTTTTATAATCTAAAATAATACTTTCAATGCTATAGTATTTAGCATTTCTACCATTTTAGTTTTTTCTCTAAAAAAGAAACCAGTAGGTGTGCCTAAGCTTTTCATGGGATTAATTCACTTGTCCAAAGATTTTAGTTCTGATAATATATTGTACCAAAATCTAAAATTATAAATGCTTAATGGATATTTACATTAACAGGAGATTGTGAATACTTTAAGGTAAATTAGTCAGACTCATTCTTTGACAAGGCAAATTCTACCTTGAAATTATACCTTGAAATCTTTCAAAGCATGTAATTTAGAGAAAATATAAAGTACATAGGGAAAGCCTTTGTAAGCCAAATACTCAAAATCAGAAACTTAAATGCATATTTGAAAATCAGTTTTTAACAATTAAATAAAAACTTAACCCTTTAAGCAAGCTTTTATCATCTTTAAAATGTAGTAATGATATAGTAAGAGCATAGAATTTTTTCTGTCATTCATATAACCAAAAAGAGACCTGCAACCTTTTAACAAATCGTTAATAATAGTGTAAAATCTGAGAAATTTTATCATTTTCATTATTTTTACCCAGTTCTGTACTTGGCTGAGTAAAAATAAGCTTAATGCTATTTGTGGCAAATAGGAATTATGTTGTGAAGTGGCTTTGATATGGTTAATATAATAATAACAAACAAATATTCTTAGCATAAACGTAACTTAATTGTTAACTGATGAAATTTACTATATGATTTTGAAAATTAACCATGTATATAAAATGTCTCCAATAAAGAGTTGATGTCACTTTGATCATTTATAAAGGTGAATAAAATTGGACTGCATTTAATGACTATTCAAAAACTTATAATATAAATTTATATTTGTACTAAGTATTATAGTTTTATTAAGGAGAAGTCTTTGTGAGTTCTTCCTTATTTTTTTATTTCAGAGAGAGGAAGGGAGAGAGAGAGAAGGATAGAAACATCAATGATGAGAGAGAATCTTTGACAGATTGCCTCCTGAACACCCCCTACCCGGGATTGAGCCCACAACCCTGGCATGTGCCCTGACCAGGAATCAAACCATGACCTTCTGGTTCATAGGTCAATGCTCAACCACTGAGCCATGCCAGCTGGGCGAGTTCTTCCTTTTTTTAAACAACTATACATGGTTTTGCCCAATTCATTAAAACCAAATTATTTCCTTTAAATACTTATGTAGAAATTTTATTTTCTAAATATAAGGTCAAAGAAATAGAGAATTTCAGTGCCAGAAGACTTTTTAGAGTATACCAAGTGTAGGGATATCCCAAACTTCAATTTACATCAGAAGTCCCTACAGTTTTTGTTGACTTGCAGATGGCCAGGCCCCTCCCCACCCATCTCACTCAGTAGGCTTGGGGCGGGGTCTGGAAATAACCAGTGCACCCCCACCTCACTCCATGGTGATTCTCATGTAGGGAAAGAACAAAGCTGTGGTAGTCCACCCTCCCTGAATCAGGAATCCTCCTACCACATGGACATTTTATTGAGGCTTTTTCTGCCTCAAACTACTCCCTCCCCAACTCTTTGCCTCCTGGGGGGCAGCCCATTACACATCTAATGGAAGTTTCTAATAGAAACCTTTACATTTAAAACATCAAGTCATTCAACATGGGCTTACATGAATACACCGATACAGAGACACACTGAAGAATTAAATGCACGCAGAACTGACCTGCTTCTTCTGATATTTGTTTATCAGATTCAAAAACAAGGCGTAGCATCTGGAATAGTTGGCCAATGCAATACAGCAGTCACGGTAAGGAGTAAGTTTGCTGCAGAAATGCCAAATGGGAAAATAAAAATAAACTTTGTTTTTCTATAAAATTCAAGTACACATTGTGTAACTTTAAATGCAGATCTTCAAAGTATTGCCCAGTGCATGAAGAGAGTCTAGAAATAGTCCACACACCAATCCAGAGAAGCCTCGGGAGGTTTGCTGTCTGCTGTAGGCTCTGGGGGCATGGAGTGGGGAAACAAAGAAAGTTCTTGGATAAACAGAGACCTGAAGCCTGTAACACATGCATACAGTATAAATTTTCACAACCCACAAAATCATGGTCGAGAAAATGCAAGCCAAGAAATTTAGACAAAATCTGGTTGGATACCAACCAGTAAATCCCCTGGGACCCCACCAGCAGCAAATGTGCTAGGGCAGTGGTTGGCAAACTGCGGCTCGTGAGCCACATGCGGCTCTTTGGCCCCTTGAGTGTGGCTCTTCCACAAAATACCACGTGCGGGCGCGCACGTACAGTGCGATTGAAACTTCGTGGCCCATGCGCAGAAGTCGGTTTTCGGCCTGGGCGAGTCTATTTTGAAGAAGTGGCGTTAGAAGAAGTGGGGGGGTGTTGGTCGGTCGGGCGAAGGAAGATGCGGCGCAGGCGGGCTGTGGGATACGCAGCGCAGAGGAGGCGCCAAATATCAACGGTACTTAAACTATATAGGTAGGTTAATAACAATGTACCTACCTATATAGTTTAAGTTTAAAAAATTTGGCTCTCAAAAGAAATTTCAATCGTTGTACTGTTGATATTTGGCTCTGTTGACTAATGAGTTTGCCGACCACTGTGCTAGGGGTGCACACTAGGCTGTTAGGGGTATACTAATATCAGGCAAAATGGACCAGAAGGCAAAAAGCCTTAAGAATAGCTTCAAATTTTCTAAAGCAAGCAAGCATGCAAACAAACAAAACCAACAAGGCAATATTGACAAACTTACATCAAATTGGGAGATATTCATAAATTTCTCATTAATTGATAGATTAATAGGTAAAACATCATTACTATTTTAAAAACTTGACCATGTACCAGGACATTAACAAGTCTCAGTACATTTTTTGAGAATTGGTATCTCACAGATCATATTCTCTGGTCAGTGAAATAAAATTAGAAATCAATATTTAAAATCCATTAAAAACACACTTTGGGAAATTTAAAAACACATAACTTTTGGGTCAAAGAAACATGAAAATAAAAAAAGCACTTAGATACACTATAAATACTACAAAATACTACCAATTAACATTGTTGGGATGTAACTAAAGCAGTAGTTAGAAGAAAAATAAAGCCTTAAAAGGTTGAAAAGACAAGAATTGAGTTTCTAACTAAAACAGTTAAAAGAAAAATATACCCAAGGAAAGTAGATAAAATGGATTAATAAGGATGAGAACAGAAGTAATAAGAAAGAAAATAAATATGCAGTAGGGTGGATCAATAAATCTATCGGTTCTGCAAAAAAACTGGTAAAAAAATGGAAAGACTGATAAAAAAAGAGAAACATCATAAATAATCAATATTAGGAATGAAAATCAATATTAACAATAAAGAGGCAGTGTAAATAGTGGTGAAATATATGACCTCTAGAGCTAGACTAGCTGGTTTGAACTGCAACTCTGTGATTTACTAGCTGTGTGGCCCTGGAAGAACTACCAAACCTCTCTACGCCTCGATTTCCACATGTAAAATGAGGATAATAACTACAGTTTCTATCTTTTAAAGTTGTTCTAAGGAGTAAATCAATTAGTAGTTGGCAAGTACTTAGACTATTGCCTGGCATGTAGTAGGCACTATCAAGTATTTGTTAAACAAGTAAAATAAATAAAAAAGGACATAATTAGAGATGGATAAGAGGATATTTGGGACAATATCCCAAAATGTTGAGTGGTAGTATTTTGTAGTATTTGTAATGTATCTAAGTGCTTTTTTATTTTCATGTTTCTTTGACCCAAAACTTAGATAAAATAGACAAATTCATAGGGGAATTTTTTTTTTTTTTTTTGAAATTGACACAAAGAGAAATAGGAAATGTGGTTAGGTACTTGACCAATAGAGAAAGTGACTCAGTAGTCAACAATATTCACACATACACACAAGGATAAAATAGCTTCTCAAGCAAGTTCTATAAGCTTTTCAAGAAAAAGATGTTTAATTTTCACAAGTTCTTCTAGAAAAGCAAAAACCCCAAAATACTTTCCAACTTGTTTTATGAGGTTCGTGTAAACCTGACATGAAAACCAGATAAGGCCAATATGACAAATGAAAAGTACAGGTCAATTTAACTCATGACCATAGATGAAAAATCGTAAACTACATGTTAGTGAACTAAACCTAGCAAAATGTAATGGTTTAACATGAAAAAATCTATTAATGTAATCTACTACATTAAAATTTTTAAAAAGAAAAACCACACAACATAGATTCAGGACAAGCATTTAAGAAAATTTAACAGCCCTTCATAGACAAACATTTTCCTTAGCCTTCTAAAGGGTATCTATAAAAACCTACAACAAATATTATTTTTAACTGGTAAAACCACAAAAATATTTCCTTTAAAGTCAGGATAAAGGCACTAGGTCAAACACTCTCACAACTTTGTATGGGGCATCCTAAGCAATCTGAGAAGAAAGAGGTGGGGACATGGAAGAGGAGTTGTAATAAATGGGAAAACATTATCCTCCAAGAGAATCTATAGATAAACTCTTACATCTAAAATTCATCAAGATCCATGGATACCTAATAATCAAATATCAATACTATTCACATATACCAGCAACAACCTATTAGAAAACAATTTTTTAAAAGATTACATTCATAATCACAGCAAAAACTATGAAGAAATAAGTCTAACAAAAGATGTGCCAAATACTTTTAGAGAAAATTATGAAATGTTATTGAAAGATATAAAGAAAAAGAAGACATCATAAATGTTTATGGATGAAAGACTCAGTATCATAAAGATGTCATTCTTCCCCCTCCCACCCCAATTACTCTACATACTCAGTGTAGGTCCGCGAATAACCCCAAAGGTCCTATCATGGACCTTAGCTGATTCTCCAATTCATAAGGAAGAGAAGAGAAGAATTTGGACTTTAAGGGAGAAAAGAAGTGATGGATTCATCTTACAGCCAGGCAAATTAAATCTGTAATAGTAAAACATTGTCTGCTGGTCTGAGAATAGACCAGATGAATGCGCAGAAACAGACCTACAAGTGTGTAGAACCTTGTGTTTGATTGACTAGACATTTAAAATCAGTGGGGAAAAAAGATGGTGTAGTTGACTAAAGGTGCTGGGACAGTTGACTATTCATCTGGGAGAAAAATTAAATTGGATCCCCAGATGCCACCATACACAAAAATAACTTGATCATTTGCCAGTACAGTGCTTCTAAATGAGAGCTGTAAGTACCCAGAACAAAGCTCAGGAAAGTGCAGCGCTACGAGATCAAGTCTGATGTCACATTCTCAAACTGGGGTCAATCACCAACTCAGTCTTCAGGAAGTTTTCTATTTTTTAAAACAACTACAGTACTAGAGTTCAAGAAAGGGCCAGGTCTCTTGAGAAGGATCATTATGTAAAAACACCGGCAAAGAGCAGTGAGGAGGAAGAATAAATGCATACTTTAAAGATGGTTCTGAAATTTGACATTATGCTTTGAGGCAACCTGGATTCAGGTGATCATCAGTTCTGCAGTACAGTGTGGACACGACCAGTTTATGTGTGAACCAAAGTTCAGCCAAACAACAGAAATAAAACTTCTATTACAAGTTGTCAGATCAGACTTTCTCAGCAATGATCTCCTTATGGAGTTAAAACCCTTAAAAGATTACAAAAGTATTGTTTCCAAGTATATCAGAAAGTTTGCCATGTTTTTGGAAACAGTTCTTCATCTCCAATAAACTAACAGAAATCTTTGTTTGTTTTGGCTGTTTTGTAAGAACACTAGGATAACTCACAACTCACCAAAGAACTAAAGTGACTTACAATCAATGAGTTTAGAACAGCCGTGGGCAAACTACGGCCCGTTTGAAACTCAATGAGTTTAGAATCATATTAGAAATACATAGGAAATGGAGTCATGGATTTACTAGTAAATCATTTATTTTAAACTTGGGCCATTAGATTTAGCTTTGCTGCTAGGTGAAGTAAGAAGCAAAAATAGGATTCCTTGCAAGCCACACACACAAATATTAAGGATAACCTGAAATCCAAGCATTGGCATTTTTGTAAGGCTACCTTGTTGCTCAGTCTACCTACCTGAATATTCTGGCAATATTGGTGCAGACATCCTTGTCACTCATGTACTGTCCCATCACCCTGCAGAGCTGGGCCAGGGCGCCGATGCTCAGCAACTTACTTCTTGCTAGGGGTGAATCAACCAAGTTTCTCAAAGTAGCAGTCATCTAGGATAAAAGCATGTTTGTGCCTTTTTTTAAAAACTGGAAAATATAGCAACACTAATAAGCACAGCACAATTCATCCCATAAGTTTCATTATATTTGTTATGCATCTCCCACTAGAGAACGTGGGCCTAGGCACAAATAGAATAAAAAGAAAACCAAGAAATGAATACAAAGAAAGCCAGCACTGGTTCAAAGGTAAAGAATGAAATATTCATGTTAATAATCAATTAATATACCAAAGCCCCAGGGTAACAGAAATCATCATCTGAGTTTGTCAACAGAAATAAGATCTTTAGTGACTCTGCAACGTGCCATATCAGTTCCACCAATAAGAAACGTCTTGTCCCATAGTCTTGTAAGTAGCACCAAGGAATGCTGTGGCCAAAGAATATTTAAGACCATTAGTTTCATTCATTCTCTTCTAAGAGGCAAGTATTGATTTTTTGAAAATTTGTCTTATTTTTGTAAAAAATGTTCAGGAGAGCTATCTATTTTAGCCTTTGTCTAAAAGTAGAGAAGAGAACAACTTAGTAAATCCATAAAACTAACATAGTTGTTATCTAATAAGTTTAATGCGCACTGTGATTTGTCCTTATACTATAGTACAGTCAGGTTACTAGTTAAGAGAGTCAGATCAGGAGTTGGATGGCCTGGCCAAGTTCCAGCCCCACCACTCATTAGCTTGGGTTAGTTAGTTAACCCCCCAGAGCACATTTTTTTCTCATCGGTAAAGTGGGGGTGGTAATAATTGCCATGAAGTTGTGAGGATTCAATGAGATGAGATGTGGGAATGGCGTTGCAGGTGCCAATTAACTAACAACAGCTCAAGAATCCTGGGTTTCATCCCTACCTTTGTTGTGGGACTTCACATCCAAAATGCTGAAGAGAGATCACTGGTCTCAGAGTCAAATGATGGAGATTCAAGTCCCAAATCTCCTCCTAGTTATATGACAGAGGCACTCCTCTTTCTCTTGTCACACCCAAATAGTCATCTGGTCTACCTCTTCTCTTCATCACCAGGTCACTGGTTCAGTTTAAGCCACTTCATCTCTTTCCCAAACTCTACAGCTCACTGATCAGGCTCCTTCCCATCTCTGTCTTGTCAGGCTCATCTCCCCACAGTGTCTCCCAGAGGGAGCATCTCAAGAGCCAACCTTCCCTGTTCAAAGACCTCCTCTGACTTCTGGTGGCCTATTGGTCAAAGTCCACATTCTAAAGGCACTTCACTCTCTACAGTTCACCTCTCCAGGTCCATCATCTCCTCCTCCTCCTCCTCCTCCTCCTCCTCCCCATCATTTAGACTCTGCACCATACACAATGCCCTTGTCATGTCACAGTTCCAAGCCTCTGCCCAGAATGTCTTCCTCCATCACACTCCATGCCCTTTCTCCAGTCTGCTCACCTCCAGCTCATTTTCTGGACCAACCTGAAGCTCACTTCCCCATGATGTATCAGTGGTTGATCACATCCTCTTCCAGGTTAACAAACCATCCTGTTCACACCCACAACTCACCTATCACAGAATCATAGCTACTTGTTTCATGCACCTTCTCCCATGATGAGCTCCTCTAGGGCACAAACCATTTCTTGTTCCTCTTTCTACTCAGAGGACAACAAATATGCCCACGAAAAGCTGGCTGGCTGAAACACAAAAGGAGAAAGAGCAGAGGGGAATAAAGACAGAAAGTGAGGGAGGGAGGGAGATGAAGGGACCAGGGAGACAGAAAGAGAGGCATTTCTCCTTTAAGGAGCCTCTGGCAAGAGAGTGCCTGGATTAGCAGAGGCCTGGTGGCAAACCAGAGTCTGCACCCTGGGGGAGGAGGGTTAGGAGGAGGTCACCAGGCAGATGCAGCCCTGAAGGCCCCGCATTTTGAGAGGCTGGCTGTGAGCCACCAGTCTCACTGCGGGTGTGGGTATGGGGTGAATGCTGAGCCCAGTCAAGTGGCTTTTTCTGGGAAAAATGTAAAAAGATCGGTGGGAGGAGAGGCTAGCTAAATACTGTGGTAACAGTAGAGGCGAATTCCAAGACAACCCACTTAACTCTCAACCTCGGTCCAACTTTTAACAGAGATAAATTTGCGGAAATCATTAATGAGCCGTGTGCTCTGTAGCAGTCTTTGCTTCCAGCCTCCAGGAAAGCCCATCCACTGGGCCTGCAGGAGTGCACCAGAGTCCAAGCCTTATGCTTAGAAAAATGTATCTGTTTCTTTCTTAACTTTTTACTCTAATTCATAATATCCTGGACTCTACTTGGTTATGCACTTGCCTATTTTATTGTATATAATCTTTTAAACCATCTCAAATACTTTATATAAAAAAAAAATAGAAGGAAGAGTTAGATGCTTGGTTAGCTTCCTAACTGGAACAATTCCCAACCTCTTAGCTACTCATCAAGATGTAGCAAACTGAAACACATGAGTTTCGATTCTTATTTTTCCCATGTCTTAATGAGCAGCCCCTTGGGACAGCTATACTGAGTCAGAAGGCAACCAGTGGGAGGAAGAAAAAAGAGAAGAATGTGGAATTGACAATCCACAAAGAGGATTAATAAAATGTTAAGTGTTCTTCTTTAGTAGAAGTTATTAGATGATGTCTGGGACAAAAGGGGACTGACATTTTTGGTATATATCCAGGAAAAAACATTCCAGTGTAATTCTGGTGACTAATCTACTGCTGGAAAATGACTGAGCTACTCTCTACAACTTCATGGTGCTCGCTTTTTTTTCTGAGGCAGTTACTTCTCTCTGTATTTCTCCAGATTCCTGGACATAAGTGGTCCTAGCATTGCCCTCCCCCCCCCAAAAAAAATCAGAGTGTCCAGGTAAAATGCCTGGTGAGCTTGGCAAAGCGGTCCTAGCTCACATTGAATTAGTTGAGCCTCAAGTTCTCACTATGCAGTCAACATGGGGAGTCCCATTTTAAAAAGAAAAATTATATTGAGACACGATTAGATGGTTTATAGAGGCTCAAACAAGCATTTTAACACAACAAAACTAGAAGGCAAAAGATTTGGCATCTATTATTTTCAAATGGATTATAGGTACTTTATTCTCAATTTCAAATTATGTTTGCAATGATTAATTAATTAAAAAACCTTCGTAAACACAAGAAATCTTAAAAATGAAGGCCCCCTCCCCCCCGCCAATTTAGATCAGTGGACTTATATGAAAGACAACACAGGCCCAGCAGATGTGGCCCAGTTCCCAGCATTCTCTACGCACTGGATGGACACAGTAGGGAGGGCTTGGTGGCCCCCCCGAGCTTCCGTATAACTGCTCATTTCCCAGTAGATGACCCCTCTCTTCCCTTTGTACCATTTACCCGTCAGCGTCCCCAGGCCCTAGGAAACTCACCAGATTCTGCTCCAGGAGGCATTCAGCCATCAGAGCTGCCCCAGATCAGAGGAGCCAGATCACAGGCTACCACAGAACTCCTGTTTTGGTGCAACAGAAGTTCAAAAGGCTTTGTGGCTAGCAAGGGAACTTTGCCATCAATCATGCCATTGTTGGCTGAAGAAATATTTTCCCGATTTTAAAAAACCAGCTTTCAAAGAAATCGTTGGAACATGATGCAATTGAAAACTGTACCATTAATAGTTTGAAAGGTATTTTTCTTCCTCTACCAAAATTAGCATCAAGATTCGGTTTTATTCCTTTTTACACTTTGAATGCTATTATGGAAAGGATTTGAGCAGTTACTTTATGGTTTATAAAGCTAGCTCATGCTCTTGATCTCATTCGCTCCCTAAACCAACCCCAGGAGGCCAACAGAAAGGTAGTATGAGCCTCACTTTTCAGATGAGGAAACTGAAGCCCAGAATGTCCACCAGTGACTAGGTAGGTGGGCATCTCAGCCTCCGACTCCCTGTCTGTTGTCCCCCTCACTCCATCTGGCTGTCTCTAAAAGCATTTTATTTTCTCAATCATCTGGAATATCCATAACCAAAAATCCCTCGAGCTTTATCTCAGCTGCCAACGGCAAAATGGTTCACTTCCCGCTGATGATGTGACAGAATAAACAGGACAGCCAGAGACCACGAACAGTGTCAAGTGATTTAAGACCAAAGCCACACCATTTTCCAACCTCAGCAAAACCGTCTCCCTCTATTCATAAAAGCACATTCAGTTTTTGGATTTGTGCCTAACTGAGACCACATATATGCCAAAGTCAGAGCCTCTGTGGTAACCCAACAAGTTTCATATTGTCTCATATATGATTAGCACAGTCCTGGCTGAGACAAAAGAAACCAATGACAAGATGCTGCTATATACATGAAACCACAAGCACCAAAAATTCCCAAGCCTTTCATTGGAGTTAAGGCATATGCATATGAAAGTAATACTAACTCATAATCCTTGATAATGCCTGGTGCCTGGCTATGGAGCCTGTTTGGCACATTCCTTCCATGGGTGTTCTAGGTCAGCAGGAACAGGTTCTGTCCTCCTCAAACCCTCAGTGTCCTACTTTGAGACTCTAACGTTTGCCTAGGTTTATTATATGTCCATTTATTGCCCCTACATCAGTTACCTTGGTAAAATGAGTAGGTGGCTGTTTCTTCTAGTTGTGGCTATTATATGTATCACTATAGCTGGAATTTCGAATGACCACTATTTTATTGTATATAATCTTTTAAGCCATCTCAAATACTTTCTTAAAAAAATAAAAGAAGTAAGAGTTAGATGCCTACATAGATATAAATGATTTACAATGCCAATGCAGTAAAGTAAGGGAAGTGAGTCTGAAAAGGCAATGCATTAAGAACTACCAAGGGATAATACCGGTTTTCACAATTCCATGTTAAAGTTAGGGACGTTTCTTTTTTTTTTAAAATATATTTTATTGATTTTTTACAGAGAGGAAGGGAAAGGGATAGAGAGTTAGAAACATCGATGAGAAAGGAACATCGATCAGCTGCCTCCTGCACACCCCCTACTGGGGATGTGCCCGCAACCAAGGTACATGCCCTTGACCGGAATCGAACCTGGGACCCTTCAGTCCGC